TATGATTTTTCTTACATTTTTTAGACAACTCTAAGTTCTATTTTGGAGTAGATTTTTAGAGGCTTCCCCTTTTGGGCCTTCATTTGATACCTTTTGGTTTAGGATTTATTTAGTACCCTTAAGCATAGATTTATGCCCTGATCCTTTTACCCTAGGTTCACAACAGCTTTAGGATCTCTTAGAAAAATTCATAGATTTTTAGAGGTTGATTTGGTATTTTAATTAGATTTAATACTTAGGTAGTTTTTAGGGTGCTTCTCACATAATACTTACCATAGTTGAACTCCAAAAGTGGCCCATAGCATAAGATAAAATTTCCACTCCTTTTGGATAGTGATTTAGAAATATAGAGGCTTTTGTTTGCTTGATTGTGGTGTTTGGTTTTGGTGTTTAGACCTCCTTTTAGTAGCTTTCTTGTAGCTTAATCAATTAGGGTTTAGGAAGAGCTTTAGTTTGATTTTTCTTTCTTCAAATAAACATGGATTGCCTTGATTGCTTTCCATCCTCATCCAATGATTCAAGGTCCCTATGTGGAAGCCTCATCCTTCCTTTGGAAGGATGTGTGACATATCACAAGAGGTGGAACCTTTGAGGATGCCTATCTCAGATGTATGGTTGAGTGCCATGATGGATTCCATTGGTTTCCATCATGCAATCATCTTGATGTTGATTATCATCTCTCTTGGTGGATCATTTGAAGCTTGAAGACGAAGTCTTCTCTTAAAGATAATTTGGGCATGAAGGTCAACTACAGACTGTTGGATTGCTGTGCTGTTAGAAGTCTGCTTTGCTGTTGAGCTGCTGGCTTGCTGTCTTGTTTGCTGTTTTTTCTGATTGATTTGATGTACTTGTGTGACTGCTTGGTGTATTGCATTAGACTAGGCCTTCATGTAGTTGATTCTAGGCCTAAGTGCATTGAAAGGTTGAGCTTGCTCCCTTTGCTTGTCTGCATTAGAGGTTGACTGTTTCCCTCTGCTTGTTTGTTACTGTTTGGCTTTGCTTGCTGGCTTAAGGTTGAATGTGTCTCCCTTGCCTGTGTGGTGTGTTGCCTCTGGCTTGCTTGCTCTAGAAGTTGAGTTTGGATCCTTATGCTTGTATTGTTGCATTGCATGCATTTTACTTACAGTTATTTCCTTTAGTTATTTCTTTACAGTCATTTCTATTGTTGTTGCTTTCCTTTGCCATGTTCCCCTAGGGACTCTGACTTCTCTTGCTCAAGAGAAGTTATGACAGACATTAGGGTTCTAACCATGCATGATAACATTAGGTAGCTCCCTCCTAACCTCAATCATAGGATTAACTTTTCATGACAACTTTATGATTGGATTAGTCCCCTTTAGTGCGTCCTTTCTCTTCTCATCTTCAAACAAATCAAGATACCGTAATAAAGGTTAATTGATGTCGTACGCTACGAGCCTTAAGCTACTTGAGAAAGGGTTGTTGGAGAGTTTCTTTTCAACAGCTTAGATGTTTAGTATGGCACCCTTTGGGTGACATGCGACGCATTCACTCTCAGGTCATAGTCTCTAGTGCGATATTAGTTGCAAACATCCATACAAAACATTTCTTCTTTAAAAGACAGAAAACAAAGATCAAACATCTTTTTGTCCTCTTGGACCTTTAATCCTCGGAAACCATTTTCATAAGGAGATTTTTGTTAGCTCTCGGTTCTACCGCAAACGGTAAACGCCTAAGTCTCCACCGAGCGAGCTGCATACACCAACTGCTGGAACCGACTGTTAACCCTACTCGGATAAAAAAGACAAATTTGTGTCTCTTGTTGTCCCGAACTACGTTTGCTCTGATCTTTCACGCCGTGTGAAAGTACGTAGGCACGAGATGCGATATCTCGGCGAGCAACCTTCCCCCGTTACCCGTAGTTAGGCGAACTATGTTGACTCTGATTTCTCGTTCTAGACGGGAATACGTAGGCATAGAACTGCTGGGTTCTGTCGAGTCATTTTCTTTTCTTTTCAAACCAGACTTTAGCATATATAGATAAAATCAACCCGTCAGATAAACACAACAAGCGTGGATCCCATCGAGTACGATGGACATGAGGGGTGCTAATACCTTCCCCTTGCGTAACCGAATCCCGAACCCAGACATGGTTGCGATGGCCTTGTCTTATACCTTTTCGTTAGGTTTTTCCGATCGTTTCCTTTCCCTTTCCGTGGGATAAATAACGAAAGGTGGCGACTCTTCTATTTTGCCGACACCTTATTTTCGCGGTAGCGACACTTAAGGCTCGTAGCGTACAACTTTCATCGTATTTGTTAAATAAGTTAGAATGTGTTTTGAGATGAGAAGAGAGACGCACAGAAGGTCTAAGGGAAACTCGACCCTAACGTTGTCATGCAAAGTGGTTCTAAAGTTGGGATTGAAAGGGGAATCTACCCTAATGTTAGCATGCTTGGATTGAACACCTAATGTCTACCCTACTCCCAATGGGACTAGGGATCCTAAGGGATCATGTCAAAAGACCAAGAAAACACAAAGCAATTCAATCACAAGTAGAAAGAAAGGGAAGATGAAATGCAAACATGAAATGCTACCTTCAATCATCAAAGAAAAGTGGGAGGAAAAAGTGTGGGACAGAAGCCACCACAAGCACATCTCAACCAAGCAATGCAAGCAAATGCAACAATGCAAATGATCATCACTTTGAACCACATCTATAAGCATGCATTCAAGTGGAAATCGAATACGCGTGTCGAAGAAATCATGATTAAACAATCAAGAACAACAACACAATATCCAAAACATCTCACTCCTAATGAACTATACTGATCCATGAAGATTCGAAGTGAAACGATACCAAAACAACCTTGAAAAACAGCAAAACAGGCCTGCTGGCACAATGTTAATCGATTAACACCAGGGGTTAATCGATTAACCATTGAAAAATGTTTGAAAATTTGAATATTCGCACTGGTTAATCGATTAACCAGTTTGCACTGCAACTGCTTAATCGATTAACACTGTACCGGCAGCAGAAAACGTCAGCTCAAAAACACTTTTCAGCAATTAATCACTTCTCCAATAATCCAGATGATTGTATAATCACTTAAGCACGAATTTAAACCAGAATTCAGTGATCCAACAACATGTAAACACATTAAAATAGCAAGATCACAAATCGCATGGATCAGATCAACCAAAAGTCAATAAAAAATGAAGATCCACATTGAATATGCAAAATAAGCTCAAAAACAGAACCAGAGCTAGAATTTCCAACCTATAAAGTGGAGATTTGCTTTGGTAATTGTTGATTCAACCTCAATTGAGCAGATCCAAGCAAGAAATCCGGAAATCCTTCAAGATCCAAGTGATTACTTGTAGTAGAAATGAAGATCCACCAAAATTAATCAAGGTACAATCATTGAGCTTTATAAGGAACCCCATATGTATGTACCGACGATTTTGTATTATCCAGAGTTGTCACCTTCGAGTCAGCCTGAGCAACCACCTCCATGTTAGTTTAAGCCGCCATATCTGTGTTATCCTAAACCTTAGCCAAAGTCTCTATATCCTTATTAGCTATTGTCTCTAAATGGTCAACAACAACAACAACATACTATACATTAAGATCTCTGCCTCGTCCAACTCTACCTCCTTTACGCTAAAGAGTATAAAGTGCGCGTGGTTGCTTAATCCTTTTCTTGTAAGAACTGGTGGGGACTACTCTATCTGTCTGGATATACAAATCCTCTTTGTTATCCGCCCCTACATGAGAGCTCACTTCTGGATATACAAATCCTCTTTGTTATCCGCCCCTACATGAGAGCTCACTGCAGCCGCTCTTTCTACTCCGCCAGTCTTTATAAAAATAATCATGTCGTCTCTTCATCTGGTCCTCACTATAGTAAAATAAAACAAAAATATATAAATTACCAGTCTTTATTTTATTTTTATTTTTTTAAGTATGAAAATTAACATGGTTTTAACGTATTGAAAAATTTGGTAACCAACTTTCTCTTTTACCGGAATTGTTGAGATACCCCATACACATATATGTATTTTTATCGGGCAATTAAAAAATATCGGAAAAAATACATGATTATTGGATTAAAAATTTCCAATATAAATACATATAAAATATGAGATTTTACCAGATATATTGAAAATGCTTGTAAAAATACACGAACTTTTTAAAAATAAGGTATGAATCTTAAATTGTCGTTGAAAAATATAATTTAACAAAAAAAAAAAAGACTTACCTCTAAATATCCAGATAATTAAAAGAATATGGTGTGTATCACATGTTTAGCAAAATGTTGGGAAAATGATAAATAAAATATGGCTTTTGACTTTTTAGAACGAAGGGTGTTACTGTAATGATAAAAGCATGCGTTTAGGGTGGTGCAAGGTTAAATTGAGAGGGTGTAGGAGAAATACTCTAAGGCCTAATCGTAAAGTACTAGTTATGGGCCTCATTTTCATTTCTTCCACGATGAAAAGATCATAACAAAATCAACATTTACGACAAGGGTTTCTCTAATATCAAAAAAGTAGAAAAATCATTTGAAGTTTTTCTTGCCTTCAGGAGTTACAAGAATGCACAAAATTCACATTCATTTCACACGCAGCATTGTCCTTGAAGCTGCTCAGGTATTCGCTCTCACTCCTTGTACATCATTTTCCATTTTCATTTTCTTATTTTCCCCCAAAATATATTTCTGCACTGTGTTGTACATAGTAATGTCAATCATAGTTAGTACTAATTCAATTTCTTTGATTAATCTTCACTTTCAATTTCAATTTTATCTTCTTTATCACTGAATTTCTCTGTTATCTTCGGAAATCGCACGTGCATGCCTTTAAACCATAGGTTTTATCTCACTGTACATACGTTTTAGTTTGAAAAGTATCTTTGTTTGTTGTTGTTGTTGTTGTTGCAGTTATTGTAGGTTATTGAATGGGATCAAAATCAAATTGAAATTTGTAAATTGATTTGCATGAATTGTTTGGTAGGATATTTTCGTCGTATAAGGTCAAGGATGTCTACTTCACCTGCAAAAGCCACTTGGAACCCTGCATTCCATAAAGTATTTATCGGGTTATGTCTGCGAGAAGTGTTGAAGTTGAACGAGCCTGGGGCACGGCTTACTAAGGAGAGTTGGTGTAGCATTGTTGAATCCTTTTACGAAAAGACTGGCGTGACTTATGACAAGAAACAGTTAAAGAATCACTATGATTCCACCAGGAAGTTATGGAAGGTTTGGGATAAGTTGACTCGCGATAGTAGCATGAAATGGGATCCGGAAACTAGTAAGTTTGATGCTTCTGAGGAAGACTGGTGCGATTATATAAAGGTGTGTATGGTAATTATTAATGTTCATACAAGACGATAAGATATCTTCATGATTCTGGAGCATTGTTGTTTTTTCGCAGGATAACCCAGAAGCTGGACAGTTTCAGTCTAAGGAAATCCAGTTTAAAGACGAATTGGATATTATCTATGATGGAGAAATGCCGGCTGAGGAAATAAAAAACTCGATACGTCTTAAGTGGCAGGATAATGCTAGAGCTGCATCTTTGCACGGAAGAGGGCGCGGGAGGAAGCGTAAGAGTGTTGTTAGGGATTATGAATTAGATACTTCTGATGCTGTTAATTCGACGCTAACTCCAAAAGCCTCGTGGACACCTGCATACCATAAAATATTTGTGGATTTATGTCTTGATGAAACTTTGAAGGGGAACAAAGCTGGGTCACATTTTACCAAGATGGGCTGGAGGAATATTATTGGATACTTTTATGCAAAGACAGGTGTGAGATATGACAAAAGACAAATTAAGAATCACTACGATTCGACCAGAAAACAATGGAAAATCTGGGTTAAATTGATTGGTGATGATTTCATGAAATGGGACTCAGGAACCAGTAAGTTTGGTGCTTCAGAGAAAGATTGGCTTGATTATCTTAAGGTAAGAAGGTATATTCATTCAATTAATTGAGAGATTCTCTTCATGGTTTGAGACTGATAATAGTTAGTCATTTTGTCACAGGAAAACCCAGAAGCTGCACAATTCCGCTTTAAGGAAATCCCATTTCCCGAGAAATTGGACATCATCTATGGCGACAGTATACAAACCGAGGAAATGCGACCATCATCTAGTAGTGAGAGACAGAATGATGATTCAGGAACTGCATCTCCTTTATATGCAAAGCGAGGGAAGAAATATAAGAGTGTTGAGAAGGATTTTGACTTTAAGAGTGCTATTTTGGTTAATGCTACACCAATCAGTGCAATTGCAAGTGAGCAAAGCATTTCATGTTCATCGTATCCTAAGGTCAAAGCCACATGGACCCCTTTATTGCATAAGACCTTTATTGATCTATGTCTGCAGGAGACACTAAATGGAAATAAGCCCGGGACACATTTTACTAAGGAAGGTTGGAAGAATATTATGGATTCATTTCATTTGAAATCTGGTTTGAATTATGGCAGATTACAATTTAAGAATCACTGGGATTCTACAAAGGAACAATGGAGAACATGGTCTAAGCTTGTTTCCACTAGTTACATGAAATGGAATCCGTCTAAGCATACGTTTGAGGCCAGTGACGAAGATTGGACTAGCTATTTACAGGTATCTTAAATTACCAAATGTACTTACTTTAGTGTGTTCATTTGAAAGTTTGCAAATCTTAAGAAGCCTGATTCCCCTCCTCTGCTAATTTGTTTTAGAAAAACCCAGAAGCTTCCCAATTTCGCTATAAGGAACTACAATTCCCAGACGCATTGGAAACCATCTTTAATGGTACTACTGTTACAGGGGAGACTGAACCTGCTGTGCAACAGAAGAAAAGCGATGACAGCGTTAATACTTTGCCTTTGCACACAAAAGGACCAGATGTAACCAGCTCAGATGAGAAGACTGAATGTCTTTGTGATGCTGTTGCATCAAGGAATGGTGTGAATATTCAAAAGAACGCCTTCTCAATTTCGTCTGCTGAAGGCAAACGCAGTTATAGTATTGGTGAATGCATTGAATGTCTTGATGGAATGGAAGATGTAGAGCAAGGAAGTGACCTGTATTTGTTTGCTCTAGATGTGTTCCTTAGGCAGGAACATAGGGAAATTTTTCTCCAATTGAAAAAGCCTAATCTGAGGATCTCATGGTTGCAGCGACTTCAGTCTGTTGGTCAGTCTTCACTCTAGGTTTTCATCACACGTTAATCATCATCATCATCATCATCATCGTCATCTGTTGTTTTTTTTCTTTCTTTTCTTTTCATTTTTTTCATAATAATATATAGTGCTGTATATAGTCAAGTGTTTAAGTTTCGGTCTGCTCCTTCCATGATGATGAAGCTTACTTGGAAGCTTAGAAATGTATTTAGTGGATTTTATCTCCCCTTCCTTTGTTTAGCAATCCTCTTAAGTCTTAGTATTTTAACATTGTTTTATTGTGGCTACTTTACAGTTTGTATGAGGTTAACTGTCAAATAGAGTACTTATCTACAATCTGATTATGTCATTTTCAGTAATCCAAATGTTTATGGACCTTTGAAGTTTCATTTTCGATAATCCAAATTGGAGTTCCATGTTCTTGACATGCAACTTGTTTCCCAACAAGAAGATATTTGATAACATTGTATCTCACACAGAGTTGGATAATTGCATAGTAAAATCTAAAGGCGCCTGTAGGTTGGAGAATCATGCTCATCCCTCTAAGTACATACTGAATTATATGTAGTAATTATGTTAAACGTATAACAAAAACAAATCTAGTTTATAATAAAAAGAACCTAAGTAAGTCTAATAGTAATTCTGTATTGTGTCTTCCTAATGGATGGACGGTGAATTGCAAAACTAATGTTCAGCATCTATGCTCTCTATCTGATGTTCAAACTTGTTGCATAAAAAGCCCGGCAGCAGAAAATTTCGTATTCGAGTATCTGGAGTGCTCAACGCATCCAAATGGCTACCTACAATACTTTTTATATGGAAGCCGTTCTTCTGTATCAAACTTCTTTGCCTAGAAAAGTACTCATTCTCTGTGGTGGTAGACTCCGAATCTTCTGCTCTGTAAAAGTGTAGATTCAGTTATTGTATCATGCTTTTGGTAAAGCTAAACCTAAGTTTGTAAGCAAGTCTAAAGCAACCGGAGATGTAAAAGGAAGATAGTCAGTACCTCATCATCAAGGATGACCAACCTCTAAATCCTGCAGAAACAAGATGATTACTGGTGACATTTTGGTACATTTCAGATTCTCTTGATACCAGAATTATAGACCACCCCTCAGTTTGAAGGTTCATGTATAACCTTAAAATAAACATGAGCTTTACATCTTTTGCCTCTTTGACACAGTCGCTAATGCTGTCCCTATGAAACCTGCACCAAATAAACTCGTTGATAAGACTGGACTCAGGTTGTTTCTTATGTGAGCATTTTTCTATATTTTGCATTATAGAGCATTAGTTGTGAATGTATTACCACCGATGCAAATTGGAAGAATAAGAGTGTGGAGGAACAATGTCATCTATGTCCATCAACACCACATCCAAACCATTTTCTGAAGGTCTCAGAGTCTTGAAATAATCATCAATCATAGACACAGTTAAAGTCAACTCTTTGGCATAATGCCCTCCTTTGATATAATGCATAGCCAGATCTCTACATATATCTGGAAGATCATATCCTTCTAACCTATTGATATCAGCATGCAGAGAATACACTCTGCAATAGCTATAGTAATCATTTGCATTCACAAGTTCAATAACTCCAGTATTTCTACTTTGACATGATTGCAGCATAATCACCAAAGAAACCAACAAAGTAATAAATAAAACTCCAAGAGTGACGAGCGAAGCAAGGAAGATTGTTGCTGTAAAAGATGACATGTAGAATCCTGAGTCTATACCATAATGGCTTGATGTATCTGTGAAGACAGAAAAAAGTTACAAACGATTAAAAACCTAACCAGATGGTTCAATCGATTAAACCGTGAACTGTCACGGCATACCAGAATTGTCTGAAAGACTAACTCCAGAGTGCTGCTGCTCCATTTGATGTGCATAAACAGACATAGTTTCAAGCTATAATAACACAATAAAAATTTGGTCATCATTCAAAACGACATGGTTGAAATTTCAGAAGGGTGCAACTGAAACCTTACCATAAAAAGAAAAAAGGAATCAAAGCCAGTTAAAGATTTGACATAACACAAAAAGAGTACCAGAGAAAGACATTAATGAGGCCCAAAACAAAATGTGGAAGATAGATAATACGAGAATGGAGGATTCACTAGAATGCGTGAGAGTATATATGTTTTGCCATTGTCTGTTGTGTGTGAGTCACTATATGAAGGAAGCTTCCTTTGTTTTTTTTATGTGCTTTCCTTTCTTATGAAGCCCTTGTGTGTCTACACTTAGTGGAAAATCGTTACTTTTTGCAAATGTATATTATTTAGGAATTTCAAAAGGACGAGTTAAGATTTCAAATATAAAACTATTGAAATGAATAATTTTTTAAGTAGCTAAAGTATTTAATAATGTATTTTTGAATTGCCAATTTCTAATTTTTAGTCCATTCCCTCCTTCCTTTATCAACATCATTTTAGAAAAAAAAGTGGCAAATGATATGTTGGATGGATTTATCAAAGCCCATATTGTGTTTAACACACCATCTTTTCTCTTTTATTGATATTTGTAAAAAATTTAAGAAAGTTAAGAATGAGATTAAAAAAAGCTGTGAGTGAAGCAAGAACTCAAATTTTTGATAGATTGTATCAATCTTTATGAATTAAGGAGGGAGAAAAATTTATATATAGACTTGCTAAGGTAAGAGAAAGAAAGACACGAGATTTGTATTAAGTGAAGTGTGTTAAAAATAAAAATAAAAAGACAAAATCTCGGTTCCGAAAAAAGATATAAAGGATAGGTGGAAGATGTATTTTTATAAATTGTTTAACGATGGATATGATATCTCATCGGACTCTAGAAGACGTGACATTAGAGAAGAATATCAAAACTATAATTACTATCGTTGGATTCAGAAGCAGGAGGTAAAAAAAGTGTTGAAAAGGATGACTAACAGTAACGCGGCTGTGCCAAACAACATACCCATTGAAGTGTAAAAAATTCTTGAAGATAGAGGTATTAAGTGGCTCACCAAACTCTTTAATGAAATTATGAGGTCAAAACAAATGCTAGATGAATGAAGAAAAAACACTTTAGTTCCAATCTATAAAAATAAAGGTGATATACAAAATCCTACAAATCATAGGGGAATTAAACTTAAGAGTCATACCATGAAGTTATGAAAAAAGTGATTGAACGAAGACTAAGAAAAGAGACTCAATTCAATGAGAATCAATTTGATTTTATGACTGTTTGCATGGGTTTCCGGTGAACAACCTCTAGCCTCTTATTAAAGTTTACTTGCAGGATCGGTTACAAGAATTCTAGACTATGTGTTAAGTATAGACTGAGTGCTTGAGTGTTTGGGTTTAGAATGGTAGATAAAGAACTACGGTTGCACGACTAATATAACTCAATGAAAAAGTAAGACAAAATTGTAAAGGGAAACAAACAGAAAACAAGACTTATGAAATAAATTACTTAAGTGTAAATTGGGCGCATGCATACATTTGTGTAGAATTGACTCGTTTCTCTTAAACGCTGATACTTTGAATGTATTCTCTACAATGTTACAAAATGCGACCCTTAAAACTGAAATTGAAATCTACTTAAATAGGCCTAAAAAAATAATGTTTACTTTGTTGTTAGTCATCCACGGTCTGCCATGTGTCCACCCATGCATGTCTACTACCTGTGTAACTCCTCACGTTCTCGTCAGTTGCAACTTGCTCATTTGGCTTACCTTCGACTTCGACTAGGATGGCCATTTGTCGAGCCTGCTTCCTTATTCTTCTGACAGATGGTCTGTCGAGACTTCTTCGACCTTGGTCTGTAGGATGTCCCGTCGAACTTGTTTTGACATCTTCTTTGTGATGTCAATCTTCCCTTTGACTTGCTTCTCTTTCCTTGGTCGAAATTTGCCAGCTAACAAGTTTCCCCCTAAAAGACCAGCTTCGACTGAGAACTGACGTTTTAACTCTTGTCAAATTTCGACTTCATGTCCCGTTTGCTGACATCACGCATCATGATGACAACTTTCTGCGCCACAATTTCCAAGGAACACTCCATCATTTGTCATGATTCTGCTTACTCTCTAGGTCGTGGGTTTTCAGCTACCCCCATTAAACTTCCCACTACAGTGGAACGAAACAGTCGCGAAACTTCCGTCAACTGTCATTTGTCCATCATGACTATTTTATCCTTGGTGCCTATAATACGTCTTTCACCATTTTCATTTCTTTTCTTCTTCTTCACTTGCGTTTTCCTGTAATTTCACCATTTTCTTTTGTTCTCACTTTTTTGCACTCTTAGAGACCCTTCATTTCCTTTGCTCTCTTTTTCACTTTTTCACATTGATATGGCTTATGTCGTTCATGTTACTGGTAACAATCCTCTAGCTTTTACCCTTTATGATGAGAAAGGTCTACCGACTGTCCCTCAACCACCGTCAACTGATAATTCTATGGTGGAGAACTGGAAACAACAAATGTTTATCCCATTCGCAGTGGCTGACAAACTCTTGGCCTTCCATGGGCCATATCCGGATGCAAAAACACACTCCAAAAGGGTACAAGAATATTTTCGTTGCTTTACTCCCGCCATTCCACCTGCCTTTGAGAAGGATGGTTTCGTCGACTTGAAGTTTATGGATCCAAATGCTAGAGTTTTCCGGCCGATGCCTACTTCCAGCAACAAAGAGTATATGGTTTGCCTCGACAGTGTCCAAAACAAACGCCAAGAGCAATGGCAAACAGCTGGCATCTTCGAAGCCATTCATATATCGAGACAAGCCCACAAAGTTAATCCCTGCATGCTTCTTGCTTTGATTTACTTCTGGGAAGGTTCGGCTAACACCTTCCATCTCCCTTGTGGCATGATGACGCCTACTATTTTCGATGTGGCGATCATTACTGGCCTTTCTCCTCTGGGCGAAACATTCGGCCCCACTCTTTCCACTGGGCATACGTTCTCTTTCAATCGTGCAGGCCTCAAGTAATACATCGAAGACTATCATGTCAAGGATTCAGAGGAGGTTTTCGACATTCTTAACCTTTTGGCTTTTCTACTACGTGTCA